AATAAAGCGTCCGAAAATTACGCGCTACGCGCGGGCGGGGGAAAACTGAATTCAGACAAGGATTATTTTAGAGTCGAAATATAACAACGAATCATCTTCTTTCTCTAATAATTTAATGAAACTTTTGTCATGAAAGAGGCTTTAGCCCCCCCCCCCCCCCCCCGATGAAAATTTTTAAAATTGTACCTGTATGGTGCTTCTGATATGACCTTGTCAGTATTGATATGTTGATTGTAAAAATGGTCTGCACACTTTCCAAATTTCCGGCCCCCCCTATTGGAAAATCCTGGATCCGCGCCTGCATGTATGTAAAGTTAACTCACAAATTATTATTATATTATTATTATTTATATACTGCGCTTTTCCAGAGCGGCCCAAGCGCTTGCAACAAGAAGAATCCTACACAAATGTAAACTTACAGAATCCTAAAAATCTGGATTACAAAAAAGAAATGTTTTAAGTCCGTTTTTGAATGAAGAGACAGATGATGATTGCCTGAGTATTAAAGGTAGCCTATTCCAAGAAAGAGCCAGAGGACGCCCCCGTTTCTTCCAAATTCCTGGATACGCCACCGTTCATTTCCCAAGTGATAAAGCTATTACTTGGAATGTGAGCAGTGGGAAATGAAGGTGCCGATGTGATCGACTGACAAATCGACCAAGAAGGCTGGTTTGGCATGAAATGGGGCATCGCTTCATCGCACTCGCTCAGTCCACCACTGCATAAATGTAGATCTTTGCACAGCTCACCGTGGTGTTAGTACTCGTGAGTGTGAGCATTCGAGTCAGCGTAATTATTTCTCAAGAAGCATATTGATTTATAAAATATAGACTTAAAAAAAAAATATTTTGAGGGAAAAAAATCCTGTTTGTATTCCTTGCATTACTTTAATTCCATTGTCCATCATCCAAATTCGCATTTAATATCATAAATAATGCATGCTCTCTTTCTTCATGCTCGTACTGATACCAAGCTCATAGTGATTTGAGTTGTCTTCTGTGAATGTTCTGTACCTTTAAAATACTAATTTTCTTCAAAAAGACGGCTATTTTTCGAACACTCACTTGGCTTCGGAGAAGAGTTCTAAGAACAGAAACCTGAATATTGTTTCTAGCGACAACACTTACATTACAACCAGGGAGATAATGCGACGTGCTTATATAGTTTGAAAGATATGTGGCAGTAATGGTCCTTCGCATGTTGCAGTGGTCTAGTCTGTGTGCATTTTGTTGATCGATTAAAGTTAAGCGATTGCTCGAAACACACCAGTGGAGAGGAAAATGGCGCCATCACGTTCCAGTTTACTGGGAATTGACAAGAGAGAGAGAGCGAGAGAGAGAGAGAGAGATAGAGAGAAGAAAGAGAGAGAGAGAAAGAGAGAGAGAGGGAGAGAGAGAGAGAGAGAGAGAGAGGCGGGTGTTTGTGTGTTGTGAGGGTGTGTGTGTGCGTGTGTGGTGGGTGTGTGTGTGTGTGTGTGTGGGGCGGGGGTTGGGGTCCGGGATTCCTTGCCACCCCTTCATTACTAATATTAAACATGCTCTTTCGTAGAAGATAGCATTACGTCCTATAACTTCGTCGAGAAATTGAAGAAAGATTGCCTCTGAATGAAAAGAAAATCCATAAACATCGAACTTTACTCAGATACCAATCCCTCAAAATATCACATTCATAGCAGGTGGGGAGGCCCGAGTTCCCTCTTGAAGACACCATGAATAAGATGCATGTGAAGAGAAACTATTGTATTAATCGAAAATAGCTTGGGTAAACCACCCCGCCTTCTGATGTTAATTTCCCTCATGATTGGGACAGTACTTTACTATCTTATGAAGACAAATTGTAAAAATCGTTTATACGGTTTTAATGTCTCGTATAACTGCAGAGTTCAAAGAAACAGGCCCAGGCAGGCGCGTACACAGGGGGGGGGGGGGGGGGGGGGGGGGGGGGGGGTGGGGTTAACCCCCCCCCTTTGGTATTTTTTTTGTGTAACCCCCCCCTAAATTTCCCTAAAACCCTCCCCTTTTGGAAAAAAAAATTCCCATGACTGACCTAAAAAAGTTGACCTTACCCCCCCCCCCCCCCCCCACCAACGGAGCAAATGTCAAATTTTCAAATTTCAGAGACCACAAACAAAAAAAAGCGTCCTCTTACCCCCCCCCCCCCCCCCCCCGCTTATTCAGCGGCTGGCTGAGTCGTTGCGAAATTTTCGGCCCGATTTTTAATGTTAACCCCCCCCCCCCCTTGAAAAAATCCTTCGTACGCGCCTGGGCCCATGGTCATAATTTGTTCATCGTCGATGAATGCGGCGGTGACGATGACGCCTATGTGATTATCATCATTATAATGACATATATGAATGTACATCATGACATAATAATTCTGTCATCGTCGATGGCTACGACGACGAAGATAATTATAATGATGACGATAGATGAATGTACAAGATATGATGCAAAAGAAAAGTACCTATAAATCCAATGAAGATCCTAGAAAACGTGGATGAGGATAGTCTAATCCTCACTTATATCGTGATTTAAGGAAGATGGTGATGATGATGATGATGATGATGATGATAATAATAATAATAGTGGCTTCTTGTATATAGCGCACAGGTCCACCTTTCGTGCTCATGGCGCTTAGAGAAAAGTACATGTTAGAAACATAAGAAAGAAATGATGATGATCGCACATGTTTTTGCTGACAAATTTACACGATCGAAACTATCAATCTAAGGCATTTAAATAGACTCGTGCGTCTATAATTAAAACATGTGAACATGACAGTGAGATATTATACGTACATGCAGGCGCGTACGCAGGGGGGGGGGGGGGGGGGGGGTTTGACCCCCCCTTTGGTTTTTTATGTGTGTAACCCCCCCCCCCTAAAAACCTAAAAACCAAAAACTTAAACCTTACCTTACCCCCCCCCCCTGGGTTTTTTTTTTTTTTAAATTATAAATTTAAAAAATTAAAAAAAATTATACCCATGGCTGACCTACAAAAGGCGACCTTACCCCCCCCCCCCCCCAACGAAGAAAAATGTCAAATTTTCAAATTTCGAGACAAAAAAAAAAGGAAAAGTGCCCTCTTACCACCCCCCCCCCCCCCCCCCCCCCCCCCCCGGCTTATTCAGCGGCTGGCTGAGTCGTTGCGATTTTTTAGACAAAAAAAAAAGTCCTCTTACCACCCCCCCCCCCCCCGCTTATTCAGCGGCTGGCTGAGTCGTTTGGCCCGATTTCAAAATTCTAACCCCCCCCCCCCCCTTGAAAAAAAAATCCTGCGAACGCCACTGCGTAAATGATATTGACAATACAATAGTTAAGATCGTGTTACTTATGCGACTATCCCTATGCCATCGCAATTCTCTGTAGTCAGTAGTTATCTTTTCTCCACATCCTGTTTTCCTTCGATCACTTGATTTATTCATCTATCTTATTTTCTCTCCTCTTCCCTTTCATTAATCTAAAATCTTGTCCTATAGCTATATTTGTTCCTGCCCCTTTCTCATTCTTATCTCGCTCTGAAAGATTCATTGCATTCTCCCTATTCACCACTTCCATTTTATGTCTCCACCCCCGGTCTGTCTTCCCCCTCCCCCACCCCTCTCTCTCTCTCTCTTTCTCTTTCTCCCTTACACATTCTCATATCAGCCCTCCTTCTCTCACTCTCTCTCTATCTCCCCTGAACCTTTACATACTCATCCCTCTCGGACCGTTTGAAGCCGGGTCATCATCACCACGTTCTGTATACTTGAATAATTGATGAGTGTCGTGGAGCATTGACCGGGAAAGTCATCACCATCCTGCCGTCTCATCTCTTCCTATGAAGCGAGGTCTAGAGGCAGATTGATTTACGAATTCAATGAAGTGCTGATGTCAAAGACCCTTGTGTGATGTCTGTGATCAGTGGCATGGGGCATGTGTCGCCAATCAAATGGGACAAAATATAAAAGACTGACAGATAGCTAGATAATAATAATAATAGCTAGTTTTTATATCGGGCTTTTCAGGACCGAAGGCCCTCAAAGCGCTTTACAGATATATATATTATTACCCCGGTCATCGGATTCATTATGGAGAGCGGAGTGCGAGTGAGAGAGTGGGGAGGGGAGTGAAAATGGAGCCTGAGGGGAAGGAAGATTATTAGTTACTCTGCCAGACCCCAGACCCAAATAACATCTGCATTGTTCATTCACATGTAATACACCGATGATGACTGGCACCCCCCTTTCCGATACCAGCGCAGCCCCCCCCCCCTCCCATCGATGGCTATAGACCCAGACTTCGCCTCACTCTTTACTATCTCATCAGGGAAATGATGCGGAAACCAATAATATGCCAAGCCATGACTGGAAGATATTGATTGGGATAAAAATATTCTTTACAAATTTAGTTTAAATTCTATTGTCTATTTCCCCTTCATTTCTGTCGTCTTTTTCTATTTCCCTCGAACAATATATCAAGCATTGATATGTCTTTAGCTTAATTATTATCTTTTTAATATTGATTTTGTTCTCTTACTATTCTCTCAGTAGTAGCCGTAAAATGAATAGTGGTAGTAGTATTAATAATAGTAGTAATAGTAATAATAGTGATAGTATCTGTAATAGTATCCGTAGTAGTAGTAGTTGTAGTAGTACTTGTAGTAGCAGTGTAGTAGTAATAATAATAGTAGTAGTAGTAGTAGTAGTAGTAGTAGTAGTAGTAGTAGTAGTAGTAGTAGTAGTAGTAGTGGTAGTAGTAATAGTATCCGTAGTATCAGTAGTATTAGCAGTAGTAGTAGTATCTTCATATAATTCGTGGAAACGGATGTGCAATTTTAGCTCAATGATACTATTATTTGTTGTAAGATGGCGCTCTTTAACTATTTACTGTGTAAGGTAATGGGTTGATTGATGGAAATATAACTATGCCGATGCCTCAAACATAATTCATTGCTAAGATATGTTATAGACATGAGATCCCTAAAGTCACACATAAATTAAAGCATACAACACGAAACATGTCTTCTTTCATAGCATAAGCTTGTTATAATTTCCACTTCTGTGCTTATATAACAGTTATGGCATACTGACATATGACATTTCAATGACATTTACTTACCCCCTATACATGTATAAGAGACACACACTGGAAAATATTATTTTGTCAGTATAGAAGACAGCAGATCAAAAATCTAATGCGTGTGGAAAGCTAAGTAAGCCTGAAACAAATGTGTTATATTCTCGTAGTTTAATTTAGTTATATGATCATAGATTGACATTCTCATACGATAAATTGCAAACATGATACATATCATTATGAACGATTACACCAAAGTACGATTTTAATTTTCTTTGAAAAAAAATTCATAAAGATGTGCATTTACAATAAAGCACCTTACATTACTGAACTTAAATATACACATTTAATCACGGTGATATTATTAACCAAAAAATATCAACCTTTATCTTATACGACAATTTTTTTCAAAAAAGAAGCACCGTAAATCTTACAAATTTTATATGCATTTGTCTTTTGAAATCGATATTATGTAGTAGTCAAGTACAAATTAGAAATGCTTTAAATAGTCAATTTATAATAAATATGTATAGTTCATAAGTGATTTTATTATAAAGAGATTGGCAAACTCTATATAACACACACGCGTTTGACCGAGTTGTAAACTGTACTATTTCTTGAAGGTTGGATTACATAGAATATCTCATAGCATATTTTCCCCTCACCAAGTTGCTGCTGAGTCGGGCAAGTTTAAGGCAATATAGTTATTGCATCCAAAAACATAAAACGTTACAAAGAAGTAGGTTGATTACATTATAGTTATGCTGATCCATAAAACGTAGTTTATTTTAGCAGGATACATATCACAGTCGACCGTTATCCTTTGCAAAGATAGCACATTTTCACAATAATTACAACAATCTTAAACACGATCTAGTCAACCTATTACATAACAAATCTATTATGTCTAGTTGAAAATGGAGATGATGATAATTATTTGAAATCCTTTGACACATCTTAATAATTATTTCAAACGATCCCGTTATATTCGCACGGAATGACTTATGCCTCCAGCGCGATCGAGTGCCAGCACTCTGTGTTACAGTTGTACAAAATCAAACACTGCCATCTATTGTCATATCACTGTATACGTTTTCGATTCGACTGGTTCTAAAAGGGAAATGGCTCCCTGATTATTGACACGATTACACGTCTCACTGATCATGTAATGATTATAAGAAAAATGCGGGTAAATTTCAGATCTGGATTTGCAAATGCGGGTGCAATTTTTGTTCATGATAAATTACTTTTGACACTTGATATCAGTTTCACAAATAAGTATTAACCTTACCAGTTTCAAAACTCTCTTGACTTTCGAAGATAAGCAACGAAACTTTCATCATCATCGATCCTCGACAAATAATAGATGAGGAATTGCATTCATAATAAATGGCTTGTTTTTCCAGCTTCTTCAGATCATACTAATTGAACCAGTTCTGTTTTATTTGATTTCTAATTTACTAATTAATTGCAGCACCCATATTGAGATATATGATCATGGCGGCTTACAGGCTCTGTCACACTTCGTCTATGCTTTTTACCCTTCCATCATAACAAACATACAGGCCCGAATTCACAAAGGAGGTTTGTCGACAAAGCTGGGTTTATGTGCGTCATGTGACGCGTTTCGATGTGTTTCAGACCGAGGTTCAGACAAACCTTGGTCTGAAACGCGTCAATACGCGTTAAACCTAGGTTTGTCTCCAAAGTACAAACCTCCTTTGTGAATTCGGGCCACAATGTACATCATTGAACATTTCTTTCTCATCGTCAACATCATGACCTTTGCACCTGAGCCGTCGTTCAGAATGCGTTATCACTGACGCTTATCAAGCCTATGACGTCAATAAACGCATGCGTCAGTATAATTCAATGAAATGTTTGTACTATTTAATATATATTCGGTGTGATAACAATGTCACTCTAAAATGGGACGTCAAGACCATGTCAGTCACTGATACAGCCATACATCAGCTTAATTACGCCTCGTGTGCGATGTGCTAATTTCTTTTGAACACGTGGCGTTATTCCGATCACGTTACTATCAGCGCTAATCGCTTATGCGCCAGTACTTAAACGCAATGTTTGGACCATTCATTTTGCATTTGGTGTTCGTATGACGTACGTCACTATCTCCTGACGCGTCAAAGACACTAGCCTATCAGTTGTTGACGCAGTCTAATTACTTCAGGAATTTGGACGGCTGACGTCATACTCGAAACGATCTTCGGTGGCTGAAACGCGATCTCGATCGTTTGGTTCTCCAACTACCGTCTGGTATGGAGTTCGGACGACAGGAGAGTATACTCTTAAAGACGGTCTTAAAGTTTGGATGTCTTGATGCGTAGATAAAGGGATTAATGCACGAGTTAAACACAAGGATTAACGTGATCCAAGGGATAGCGGGGTCACTGGACGGGATTAGACTCCCGATTGTAGCTGGCAAGACACAAAGTAGAAATGCGCAGACGACCAGAAATAGATTTTTTGTAATTTCGACCTGTTGTTTACGCACCTTCTTGGCGCGTTTTTTCTCGAGCGAGAGAACAGTGGCGAGGCCGTTAACGCCTCCGTTATGGTTGTCGTAATCGTTTGAGTTCGCACTGCTTTCGTTATGGGATATCGGATCTCCCACTTGATGCAGTGATCGCGAGAGACGTCGTTGATCAGGAGAAACCGCCCCCGTTGTGCAAGTGATATCCGACATACCATCTATACTCCTTGATCGATAAAGTTGACGATTATGGCTGGTCACGTGATGGTATATCTTTGCGTAGCACGCGAGGATCAGAATGACGGCTGGACTGAGAACAGAGAGCGCACCAAGGATACTCAAATAGTCTGCATTTTCGTGAGACGTATCCTGCGTACATACTTTGTACTTGTGAGAATAGCCTATATTCCCAAGGCCCGTCTGAGTCCCGATGACGATAATCAGTATGGGATAAATCCAGGAGAATATGACCATGAAGACGATGTTGAGAGGTTTGTAGATCCAGATGTACGATGACGGCTTGTGGGTGATTAAAAAGTATCTATTAATGGCGATCATAGTGAGAGATATTGCGCTTGTTCCAAGACAAATCAGCGATAACGCGGCGACAACCATGCAGAGCAGCTCAGAGAACGGCATTCCATGAAAGGTTAATAGCGTCGCGACGTGGAACCACATTAGGACGGTGATGGCGATGTCCGCTGCGGCAAGGTTGATGACGAAAACATTGGTGGTCGTCTGCAGTCGTCGGGAGAGCGCGACTGCGAGAATGACCAGGAGGTTGCCAAGGAAACTGACGATGGAAATAACGAGGAGAAGCGCGGCCAGCAGGACGCGGTGACTGGCCGTCGAAAACTCGAACTCGGGCTCCCCATCGTTTCCGTGACTTGTGTTCACAGGATGACCCATAGGGTTTATGGGGTGATAAGGCGTTTCCATTTTCAATGTATGTAGAATCTAAAGAAAATCACTCTCCGTTGTGATGACCAAGTTCTCTCTTTTGACGAGCTTAAAGAAGTACCCGATGGTGATCGTCCACTTACTTGTAAAGGTGTATCACCAACTACAATCTTTAGCTCCTGATCCAAAACTATTTATCTCGATTTCGACCGATCTGTTCGGATGCAAATAATTCCATGTCACGAGACTCTCGTATACCATATACTTATCAATTAATAGCAATGATTTATCACAGATCCTGGGCTAAGTTTTCCTTGATTGTCTTGACGGAGAGTGGTGGGTGTCCAAGTTTCGTCACGCAACTTAAGTCCTCGGTGAAACATTGTCATTCATCATATCTGCAGTAAAGAAAGAGAGAAATATTTAAAAGGTGAAAGGTGAAACAACGAAAATCAATAATGCTGGTGATACACCTTAACGAGTAAGTGGAAGATCATCATCTCTCGCCACGAGAGAGAACTTGGCCATCACAACGGAGAATTTTTTTTTCTCCATATGCATTGACACAGCCTCGACAAGTTCAAATTTATTTGAACTTTTGCAGTTACCTAAATTCCATTTGATTTCTTTACCTTTGTATGTATTGATTAGTGACCTTCTCATGTTTGTATAATTCGTATTTCTTTTCTACACCTGTAATATTTTGTATGTAAATATGTGTTTTTTTATTGAATGGAATTAATAAATCTTGAATCTTGAATCATATTCTGGTTATTGTATGACAAGGGTGGAAAGGGACGGAACTAAATTAGCTATGGATCAAGTAAGTCAGTGAATACTGATAATCATTAGGAAAACAATTCGATTAAAATTATAGAGATAACTATAAAATAAAGATAATTAAACATACCTCATCATGTCATTATTACTCTTTGTTTGGAAGAGGGTGGAATGTGACTAAACTTATCGCAATGGATTAAGCATGTCACATTGTCTATGATAACGTAATTTCGCAATTTGTCCTTAACGAATTAATCGTGTCGTAATTATGATTTCCGTACAGAAAAAAATGAAATATAGACACGAGTACTGCGAAACAACTACTTGATAACTTCTACTGCATGCGATTTATAGTGTGCGAAAATAGTACAATAATATACACTGGCTAGAGAGATTCTATAATTACATCTACAGCATCAAGGTTTTCTGAGGGGCGCTGTAGAAATATGATTGATCACAGTCATTAAGTACTCTTGACCGACCCCTGTAAGAGATTTCTAACGAATGATCTAACAAACATGTATTTCAATCATTATGAAACTAGTATTTGACCATATTTCTCATACTCACATAACAGTTCTAGCACTTCAAAATGATTTATATAAGGTAATTATGACGAAAGTGGCATAAGGATCTGAATAACAGATTACATCCTACTTATCCGTAACAAAACAACATTTCCCAAGACCTCGTTAATAAAAAATAATAATAATATTCCACTTTCATATAGCGCTTAATACATCTCCGATGTCTCCAAGCGCTTTACAATCATCTAAGATTGATAAACAACCCTGTATGGATAAACGCCATTCTATCGGAGTTTAAAAGATGTGCTACAAGCATATTCGTGTGAGTCGAAAGAATTGATAATTTACAAATTTTCGGGCAATTTTACCTAATATTTAGGCAGATTATTTACGAATTTCGATGTTTGCAGCATTCAATGAGTTACTTTATATAATTATACGTATCAGGAATCATTTTCATATATATACCTGACATAATTTAGATTAATGTCTTGCTAATGGACACACACATGAGTAGAATAGTTTCGTGTTAAATGCCCAAAGCACAACCTAAACCAATTTCTTGTCGATCGCTCTGACCGATACTCCTATCATTATGTCTCAATATCTATGATACGCAAAAACAAACAAACAAACATACACGCTCAAAACTGTTTTATGAATATGAGCAGGCCATGATACATTTAAATTATAGTTTTAAAAGTAGTACAACATGGTTAATTGGCAATATAAACAAAAAACATTTTCAGTGTAAACATCTATTCTTAGAAGTGGCGTGCGGGTGAAAACATTTGGATGCAATTAACGCAAGTTATAAATACAGTCTGTGGATTATTATTTAAAACCGCATAACTAAGACATGATTAAAAGGCAAAAGGGCGCTCATATGCGTGCGAGAATTACCTTAATTATTTCTATTTTTAGCATGTTCAGAGTTATTTTGATCCAGTTAAAGGCAATTTAAGTATTACTGAGGTAGAACATTGCGTGGGTGAAATCGAAGAGAGCAATATTTTTCAACTTCTTTTGTTCTATACCCCATCTAACTAATTAATTAAAAATGAAATTATAATTCTTTTTAAAGCTCATCCCATGATGGCATATTAAGGTCCTATCACGGCTAGACTTGTGATAATGAAAAATTACCTTAAATTGATTAAGTGAATAAACATACGAGGCCAGTTATTAATTAGCTACCATTCTTCATTATTTCCTTATTTGTTCATAATGTAAAGGGTATCGTATAAGCACTCAGTCATTTGGTAAAGCTTTACTTTCTGTTTCCTTTTGAAGTTGAAAGTTAACCATATTTATTCGGTTAGATCCATAGCATTGAAATAGAGAGAAAGAAAATGTTAACATCATAGGATCCTATTTTACAAATAGAATAATACTTTTGTATAACATGAGTGCGTGAACATCATTTCTCTACTCTTTAAACATTGAAGGCATCCGCAACGCTTAATGAAGTAAATAAATAAAGAAACAAACAAACAAAGTACAATAAGGCGTTGTATACTATACTCAGGCCAGACATCGTGGAGTTTTGCGGTTTTCAAACATTTTTGCACCCCATGCCGTTCAGACGATCCTGGATTTTTGGTTTTAAATGATTATATTCTTTCAAGTAATCCCCACCCAAGCGGGGCGATTCTATCTACGGTGAATTAGTTTATATCTTCATGAGAAGAACACGTGGTGCATTGTGCCATGATCAAAATATTTCAGCCCTCTCCCTTTAATCCTTTATAAACTTCAACCCGACCTAGCCCCATTGTTTTATGAGGGGCGTTATAAATATGGATTATCGTGGGCGTAATATAGCTGTCATAAATAATTATGTCTTATTCGCGTTGAAAGCATCAGAATACAAAGGTAAACGAGGAATCATTGCCAATACCGATGAAGCAATAATTTGTTAATCTGTTTTCGTTTCGTTCGCTTATCTATCGTATCACTTTCTTTTCAGTATAATGTTATCATTGTTTAGGCTGCAATGGCAGGAACTCATTTGAGAGTTATCACTTCCTATTCACATGGCATTCAAGCAATCTTGACATTTCAGATAACAAAGTCGTTTCGTTATTAGTTGAATGTGAATTGCTAAAAGTAAGTCATAGAATGAAACAGGAGCACGAATGTCTACAAATTGTTTTCTCATTACAATTTTTTTTTTTAAATCCTGATGATATCTTGAAATATTGAAGTCATTGATAGTTTAAAATCCTTATGACTTTTCAACAGAAAAGTGTCCGATTGCCTTTCAGTCGTCTACGGCTTTTGGTTGTTAAACAATTGTCATTTCGGTTGTTTACCAACTGTATTATTTGTTCATACATGTCGAATGTTTTGATAACAACTCATTAGAGTTTGACCTTATTTTACCTATACAGTTAGAGGTGTAGGTCGAGTCTAGCTGCCGCGGCACTAATGTCCTTTGGAAAGACATTAATCTACATTTGCCACACTCAACCCAGGTGAATGGGTAAATGGGTACCTGGCAAGAATCAATTCCTTGAAATGCTAGAGCGCCGTAATGGCAGCCACGCTAAAGCCGGGAAAATAATTTACAAAGCTCTTTGAAAGCGCATAGAGACGTTATTATGCGCTATACAAGAACCGAATATTATTATTACATGGGAAGAATTATAAGTGAATATTACTGAAATAGGTACCAAAGAAAAGGAAACAAGAACAGGACTAAACAAATTCTTAAGAAATCCCGAATGTAGTTTAAATACTTAAATATATCTTGATCTGTGTGTCTCTTCTACAGAGAAATTGACAATGTTATATATGTTAGAATGACGTGATCAAATGGGGGTTCATTGAATTACCAGTACAGAGATACTCATACAAGTATATTTGACTTTAAACTATCTTGGATGTTAACTTAGGCAGTTCGCTTATAATTTTCTCGAGTTTTGGTAAACGTTTAACTTTAAATTCCACGATGATCCACTTCAAAGATTGATTGTTAATTCTAAATCATTCAAGTTTTTAATATTTGTTTACATTATCATTTTTTTAAATAGTAAATAATATTGGACATGGAAGCAGAAATATTGAAAGGTCTGAACTAATCTGAATAAGTGTTGGAATTGACCTCTGAAATTATCATCGGAGCACATGACATACATTCTTAAAATAATGTTACTTACTATTTAGCCCTTCCGTCCTCTCTAGCCTATATCTTTTGTATGCTGATTTATTATACTTCTCGTCATGTCGTATTCGTGCTGTATCATGCAGTCCCTTCGCTAAATGAGGTACTCATAAGAGCATGCAATGTACGACACGTTTGTTTTTCGGAATGAACTTTCAAAAACTATTTGAACACGAAATCTTGAATGAACTTCTGTTCTTTGTATACTCAGCTATGTGGCATATTTTACTCAAATTGAAGCCGGTGTTTGGCAGGAAGTTTGGTGTTTTCCTCAGTTGTTTGTTAAAGAAACAATTATCCTTGTGATCTGTTGGAATATGTAACGCGTGAGAATATCCCGTTTGTAACCTTTAGCGGTAATCGACCACATGAAAAACAAAGAACAATCATGCTTTCATCACCAGAGTGTAGAGTGTGAGTAAAAAAAGAAGGAAAAGGAAAAACAATCTTGCATTCAAGCCCCAATATCCTAAAACCCAAGTAATATTTTGTTAATATAATGTAATGTCATGATATCTCAGAATGCCTTTTACTGTTGAACAAAACGTCTTACAATGTTTCTTTTTAGAAACAATTTCCGATGTTATCAAACTGATGACTTAATTAAGGTATGCTGAGCGTACTATCTAACCCTTTGTGTTCCTTCTCTCCGTTAAAGCGCATAGGGACATTGTGATATGCCTTATTTAGGTATAATAGATTCCTACTATCATCATATTTAATAGCTTGCTGGTCCGAATTTGATAATGAATCAGTGAGCACTTGTCACTTAAAAAACAAAATATTCAAAATATTTTGCTCAATTTTTAGGATGGATGGTGTTTAGGAAGTACTTTCACTATCAACTGATCCATCCATTTCATGCCAAGGTAGGACACAGGATAACGTTTGACATGAATCAGGAAATCTACTGCTATTCAGCTGT